GTCATGTAGACTGTTTATTGTTCTTTTATTGTCCTTTCTCAATAAGAGAAAGGACAATAAAAGGACAAGTTTTAGGGAGACAGATGATGACGATCGACATTGCATTTAAACTTTTGCAAATCATAGGTAGCAGAGAATCAAGAAGCCGGAAGAGAATTGCACAGTCGAGAAGTGCAAGAAAAGGAACTTTTAGAATAGAACCTCCGGTTGCATCTAGCTACACTCTTGTTGAAATAAATTGAAACAAAACAAATAATTCCGTTATTATTTACTTTTCTTCATATTTTTCCAATGAAACATGACCCAGTGCACATGTTACTACTTCATATGTCCATTCCACGTAGCCGTTTCTTACAGATTGACCACAGATTCTCGATTGGATTTAAATCAGAAGAGTTTCCGGGCCAGTCGATAGTACTTTGGTTTACTCACTAGTAAGGCTTTCCAGTGTGTTCGCGCAGTGTTACAATTTTCGTACGCTTCCTTGGAGTAACGTCCATCGCAGACAATAACCGTAGGACAACTAATCGATAGTAGAGACAATAATGTCTGGACGTGATAAAAATCTAATGCAATCACGGATGACGCAATATTTTTCAAAGCCAAACAAATTTCATTATACACTCCGAAAATAAATTAATATTACTGCACACCACTGCAAATAACCTAATCTGAGGAAAAAGTAGAAATCGATTACACCCTGTCACTCCCGTGGGTGTAAAACTGACCGAATGGTGAAAGGAAGGAAACTAAAGCAGTTGTTTCAATTAATTTTCACAAGGGTATATTTCAATAGTAAAATGATGAGACCTAATTACCAGTCTAGTAGTACGTTTAAATTCATACGGTTGAGATACCAAGGAGGAGAGTTCATCATTTGGACAATTGCCATGAAAATATTTATAAAAAAAAAGAATGTGGGAAGCCATGTCACGGCAAAGGGAAAGTAACTGAAGTTGAGATGCCAGGTCAGGTCTGTTAACATTGCACAGATCATAACATGCTTCTTTGGATATTGATATTTTAATGATTTTAAAATTACAATTATTTCTTTTAGGTGACTATAGAAATTACTGTATAGATAAAAAAAAACCCTTGTTTACACATGCAATCAGTCAGTTATGTGCCATGAAAGATACACGCTTAGGCGATCATGTATCTTTCGATACATGACTGACAAGGCAGATTTTTTTCCTGCAGTAGGTTGCCATTTCTTTCTGCAGTAGACCAGTTGCCATTCAAGGCTATAGAACCCGGTCTGCCCTGCTATTTACCCACAGCTGTAGGGAGAAGAAGAGAAGTCATACCTTTCCCAAGGATATTAGCACGTAAGTGAATATAATAGATACGACTGAAATTCGAACTCGGCTCTCCAATTCCTCAATCCGAACAGAATTAGTTTTGCACTATCTGTCTATATTTCTTACATGACGTATTTTGTACACTATTTACTTTATTCGGACTATTGTCCTGATCATTGTCGCCATTTTTATCACAACGTTTCGGCCTTTCAGTATCTGTCTATATTTCTGAGATGAGGTATTATGTACACTATTTACATTATTCGGGCTATTGTCCTCATCTTTGTTGCCATATTTATTAAAACGTTTCGGCCATTGTACGCCCCGGCCTTCTTCAGGTGTTTGGAATGTCGAACTGAACCCTTTATTTCGCTCACTGGGTTAGACTGTTCTAGTTCTACGTGCCATGTCTAATAGTGTCAAGTGTTGCTTCAACATTTATTGGATATTTTTAATTTTAATGATTTAAAAATCAGAATTATTTCATCCATGCGCTAATAGAATTATATATAATTGTATAGATACAGATACTCGATTATCCAAGTAAAAAATCCGTTTCCGAAAGCCCCTGACTCCTCCTGACTTCTGATATCTGCTATCTTTTAAAAATCGGATCAGACCAAAAATGGAGTATCGCTGCCATATCTGGACTGGCGGCACCCAATCCTCACTTTCCAAGCTTCTGAATGATGAATTACTTTCAAACCTACAGCTCCATTCCCACCTAGGAAACGTCGCTAGCCTATCGCTATATCCAGGGCAAATGTTCAGACGCTCCACAGTCCCTTAGTTCCACATGTTCAGGCATATAAAGCCAGAACACGCCACATAACAGGATCGAATCATTCTCATTCCGTTAATATTCCTCTAGTAAGGAAGAAGTTTCACTCAGACAACCGCTACATATTTATTTATTTATAAATGATAAATATTAGTTTTAATTGTATTCATTTTTTAGAAGGGTGAAGGTAGTTAAAATAATAGCGGTGTCATGGGAAAATACATCTTTTTACAGTTCGTTTTTTGTTTTATTTTTTTGCAGCCACGTATGTCCAAATTTGCTGCAATATCTATCATTCACCAATTTATAAAGAAATAAATATGAAACAATTTTTTTTATTCATAAATTTATAAAAAAATTATAAACCATAAAAATATGTGAAAATTATTTACCATTTTATAAAGTTCGAATTTACTGGGAATTCACCGATGTTTTGCCAATCATTCCCAAGAACGCAATTCGTTGAAAGTTTTATAGGTTTTAAATTTTGTGTGTTTTAACTTTTAAATTTTTAAATAAAAAGATTTCTTTTCAAATGTATTTCTTCATAAAATGATAAATAATAAATCTTTATAAAATAGTAAATAATAAATATCGCATTGTACTTGGTTCACATATTTTTATAATCTTGTATATAAACATTGCCGAGGGAGTCAAAAGTGTATACAGTAATAACCATCCTTTTGACAAACTGATTTTTGAGGTACGAAGGTTAAACTTTGCCAAATGGTGTTTCATTCAGTTGCGTACTGTCCGATGGCTAGTGGCCACCTAACGGAGCTGGCCCCCTAAATTGATTAGACATCGATTATAAAAAATTGGAAAATTAAAACAAAATGTAATATGAGATAGAATGCAATTTGAGAAGAATATGTAGAATGTCTGCAAATTCATGTTTATTGAAATTTTCTTGTTCTATGATTCATAGATATTTTTTATAATAAAATTATGAATAAAAACCTGGTTTTCTTAGTTATATATTTATAAAATGGTAAATAATAAATTTTGCATTGTGGCCGGTTTATATATTTTGAAAATTTTGTAAATTTTTATAAATGTTTGAATAATGATATTTCTTTTCAAATTTATTTCTTTATAACATGTTAAGTAATAAATCTTTATAAAGTGGTAAATGTCTCATTGTACTTGGGCCACATATTTTGATGATCTTTTAAATAAACATTGCCGAGCGAGTCAAAAGTGTACATATTGACAGAGTAATTTGTTGTGGTACGAAGATTAAACATTGTCAAACGATATTTCATTCAGTTGCGTACTGTTCAGGTTATGGCTAGTAGGCACCTGAGGGAGCTGGCTTCCTATATCATATAAAAATGCAATAAAGAAACAAATACTGACAACTGTTTTAGTAATAAAAAGGAATTAAAAATTTTATATAATCATCTGCACACTATCAGTTTTTCAATTCCAATATGAAAGGACATTTTCAAAGCTAAAGATCATAATGACAAAGTTAAGAATTTCTCTGGGAAGAATTTGGAACTCTACATTTTTCTATCTATTGAAAAGGGATTTGTTATATGAATTGGATACGGAAGCAATTATTGGAAGATTCACACAATCATCGAATGAACACAAATGATTGCTCTTAATATAGTGGAATACATACAATGCTCTATTTTCAACTGTCACTGCGGTAAATTGTGCAGTAAACTAATTTTAAATATCAACCAATATTAAAAACAAATCATGACATTCTGCATTTACATTTGATATCTACTGCCAGTAATATGTACACTCTAATGTTTTTTACTAATGTTCACCCAATATATTGAATCAAGCCGAGCTTCTCGACTTGACGGTCGAACTTTCTGCCTCTGAGCAGAAAGGAGCCCGAACGAGGCTCCGCCGAAGGGCAGAATCTCGTTCGGGGAGAATGACCAACCCGATCTCGTTTATACGGGCATTTTTTGACCGAGCCTACGGGCTCGGGAAACCAACGTAAAAACTCGGCCTTGTGCGACATGCAACCCTCGTGAGGGGTGGCTAGATACTAATGTTCACCCAATATAAGACCCAAGAGCCCCTCAAGGTAGAGGTTTACTGTGTAGACTTATATTAGCATAGGAAAGAACAAGAATTAGGAGTTTCTTTTCATATTTATTTCTTTAAATGTTAAATAATAAATCATTATAAAATGTTAAATTATAAATCTTTATAAAATGTTTAATACGAAATATCGCATTGTACTTGGGATACATATTTTTATAATGTTGTATATAAACATTGCCGAGGGAGTTGAGGTCGTTTAAAATAATAACGGGCGTCAACAGAAAAAAAGAAAACGCCCTTTTGATAAACTGTCCCTTTTTTGTTGTTGTATTTGGGGTCACAAAGGTTAAACATTACCAAAAAACTATCGAAGTAATTGTACCATGAATATAAAAAGAGCAAATTATTTAAAAATCCCGTTATTCTTATTAGAGGTAAGCGAGGACACGATGGTATCATGTATATAAACGATAAGACGTATGTATCGAAAAATGAATGTAAAGTCATCGTCGTTTCTTAAGAGTGCCTTTCTTTGAATTCTTTGCAGTTGATTCCAATGCCCGTCTTGTATGGCGTCTTCCTGTACATGGGTATCACTTCTCTGAGTGGAATGCAGGTTCGTGAAGCTAATGATTTTTTTTTCTGCTGACAAATGCTGACATTTATTTTTTTTACGATTTATCAACCCTTTGATGGTTATTTAAAGCCAGAAAGCATTTTTAAATTGTAAGAATTTTTTGTATATAATAATGATTTACGGATATAAGTCCTACCAATTAAGCCATATCTGGGGGGAAAAGAGGAGGAATCATACCTTGAATATAACGAAACCGATTGGAATTGAAACCCAGCTCTCTGATTTACAATTCCGATCCGTTATCCATTACACCACCGGCACACCCAAGCTTACAGAACCTGATATTCCCAAGCGTTCACCCATGCATGTGCTGACCAGGTTCGAGGTTGCTTAACTTCGATGATCGTACGAGAACCAATGCTTCAATGTGTTATGGCCGTATACCCTGCTGGCAAAAGTAATAGCAATGATTTTCTGACATTTGCAATTTCTAGGTGGTGGTTTTGCATAGAGTGACAGAGACTGCGTCGATGTCTGGGGTGGTCTGTGTGTGTGAGGGTGATACTGAGAAAGATTCCCATACTTTTATTAAGGTGCCTTTTTATCTCAGTTCTTGAAGGAAGTAAATTACTCTCCACAAACATTCTATTTTGTGGATATCGCCAAAATATTTGACGAAATTGATTGTTATTTATAATTTATGATAATATTATTTAGGTGTTAAAAATATATATACAGGTTTCTGCATAAATATTGTTAGAAAAAAAAACCTCATAACTTCTGTGAAATTTGTTATATCATCATATAAGGACCTTGAATAAGTTCTAGGTGATTTTTGTTTATCTTTAACATTAACATCATTATTTTTGAAGCGACTAAACCAATCTTTGCACGTTGTTTCCGACAGATCATGGTCGCCGTAAGTCTCAACAAGAATTCTGTGCGCTTCAGCTGCAGATTTCATTGAAATTTGTAGTGCAGTAAAATTCCCCGCAAATACACTTTCTTTGGCACAAAATCCGACATGATTAACGCTATGAAAAACAAAGTTGTTTACACTTCGGTGAAATGACATACACTGAATTTCAAGCTGGCTTATCGTACTCCCTTATAGATGAGTTACCATCTGAAACTACAAGCACGCAGTTCTGGGAACGCGATCTATTGGAAAACAGTGAGAACTTATTCGAGGTCCTAATACAATTTGAACACAAAGTAGGTATTAATGTGATAAATAACAACTGAAAATCCCATTCAATATGCTTTTCTTTCGTCTTCATCACACATGTTTCAAGAAAGTCATTAATGGCGGTACGCTCAGCTTCCATAGGTAATGTGTCTCATACTGTCTTCAATTTTGCCTTTAGGGCCTCAATATTGTGGAGCGAAATACAACAGGCCTCACTCTCAAGAACTGGACACAAACAATAGTCAAGAATTCATTTGAATTTTGTAACAGCATTTATACTGCATCCTGTAGAATCTTAGAAGACATTAATAATAAGTCAAAATGTAAGAATAATAAATTCAAATACTAGAGAGATAGAGAGAGAGGGAGAGAGAGAAAGAGAGAGAGAGAGAGAGAGTGTGTGTGTGTGTGTGTGTGTGTGTGTGTGTGTGTGTGTGTGTGTGTGTGTGTGTGTGTGACAAAATGAAAAAGCTATCAACAACGCGTTTCGGCGAAATAACGTCTGCTGCCTTCTACTTCTTCAGGTTAGAATGAAAGACAAATCTGTATGTGAGGGAAATACGTTGGGATCTTGGAGGGCCATAAATCAAATTACCTTATCATATCCAATGACCAGAAACCTAAAAGTGCGTTTTTGCTCGTTTGTTTTATATATAAGAACTGTTGATGTCAGTTCGATATTAAATCAGCACACCTAAAACAGAGTGTTTATATATATATATATATATATATATATATATATATATATTATTAGAAATATATATATATAATATAAGTAGATAAGAAAGTTAATATATTCTGTTGTATGGATATTAGTTTGTAACTCTGGGTTACAAACTAATATCCATACAACGGAATATATGTGTGTGTGTGTGTGTGTGTGTGTGTGTGTGTGTGTGTGTGTGTGTGTGTGTGTGCGTTGGTTGTTACCGAAGCCAGTGAGAGTGAACTTTTTCTGTTTGGTTTTAAATAAATATAGGTTTATTCTTACAGGTTCATAGATAAGTAAATCTATCTATCTATCTATCTATCTATCTATCTATGTTTCATATAAGTCTTCGAGATTTTTAATTCAAAAATATTTATCTGTATCTATTTATCTATTCTCCACGCATACACACACGTGCGCACAAACACACGCAGACACAGACACACACACAAATATATATATATATATATATATATATATATATATATATATATATATATATATATATGTAATGAATTAGTGGGTTATTATTTTACTTATTTACTAACGCCTGATGACATGTGTTAATACACATCGTAACATGATTGCATTTGTGCATCGTATTTTTACATGTTTATATATATATATATATATATATATATATATATATATATATATATATATATATATATATATATATATCAGGTCATCCCATAAGTTCTGTCTGAATTTTGAATAAAGAAAACAAGTGACCAAATAATACATTTAATTACAGATTCAATCAACAATGTATTTTCCCAAACCATCTTCTGCAAGTTCTTTCATTCACACATTCCTCTCCATAAACTGAGTGAATGTTTCTAGCCGCTTTGGCTGCTGAGTTTCCTTTCTTGAACTCATAAAGCATTATGTGCCTCAAATGATTCTTGGGTACTTCCATGTTAGCAGGGTTTTAATCAAACAAAATATAATTTTATTGTTCTCTGAAATAAAATTTGATCAGTTTAAATGCATCTAAACATAAAAATAATGTCCAGCTCCATTAGACATTATAAAATACTCCTTAAATTTCGTTCATTTTATTCTAGCTTTTGTAACAATGTTTCCCCCTAGTGTAGGATCGTTAAATGGAGTTTGTTTAAGAAAGCTCGGACATGTAACTCCCTATATGCCACATGTTACCTATGCCTTTGAAATTATTAGATTTAAAAACAAGGCTGATCTCTTAAATCAAAGATATGAACTTACAGTTAATTGTAAACACCGTTATAAATTTAACTTAGTGTAGGGATCGTATACTTTAAATGATAATGATATGTCACTGTAATTTTAATAGATTAGTATTTTTATTGCATGATGGTCATACTAACGATATAAATGTGTATTGTTTACCTACATGGTGTTATTAGTGTTGGTGTATATGTGTATATATTTATTTATGTGTAGGTTAGCGTGTTTGCACTGAGGAATGTGTAAGTTTGAATATAAGTGTATTTATATGTGTTTTTTTATATATATATATGTGTGTGTGTGTGTATATGCATATATATGTGTGTATATATATATATATAATGTGGGAGGGTATGGTAGATAAGAAGAGAAAAGGTTAAAAAATTGTTGATGTATATGTGTATGTGTGTGTGTATATATGTATGTATGTGTGTGTAATATATATATATATATATGAGCACCTCGAGGTGGTATAATGGTTGACAAGCTTGGTTCGCTAGATCAATTGCGACTGAGTAGTGAGTTCGTTCCTCACTGGGTGCCCCCTAATTTCGGCTTTGTGCCACGGTATATTTGTATATATATATGTATGTGTGTGTGTATGTGTGTATGTATATATATATATATATATATATATATGTGTGTGTGTGTACATGTGTGTGTATATATGTATATATCTGTATGTGTCCTATTTTATTGTGTATGTATATTTATATTTAAGTATATTTCTGTTTGTATGAATGTGTTTATATATTTGTATGTTAGGGTATATGTATATTGGTGTGTGCTGGTATTTGAATGTATATTTATGTATGTATATGTAAGTAAGTTTATATATGTATTTGGTTGAATGTTATATTTATATGCATGCATGTATATATTGGTACTTGTTATTATAGATAGATATATTTATATATATGTTTATATGTAGATATGTATGTATGTGTATATATATTTATGTATATCTGTGAATTAATATGTGTGTGTTGACACCTATTATGTATGAGTTTGTTTGTGTGTATGTGTAGGTATGGAAACTTTGGTATGTCGTTACTGCCACAGTAGTTAGTCTATGTGTGTATATATAAGAGTGATAACAGCTACTCGACTTGAGAAGAGCAAATAATGACATAATCAAGATGTTGACATTCCATATTACTTCAAATAAAAGGTTAGGAAGGAAACTTCCATTCATCTTGGAAAGAGTGATAACAGCTACTAGGCTTGAGAAGAGAAAATAATGACATAATCAAAATGTTGACATTCCACACTACTTCAAATAAAAGGTTAGGAAGGAAACCTCCATCAATACTGGAAAGAGTGATAACAGCTACTGGGCTTGAGAAGAGAAAATAATGACATAATCCAGATGTTGAAATTCCACACTACTTCAAATAAAAGGTTAGAAAAGAAACCTCCATCAATACTGCAAAGAGTGATAACAGCTACTGGGCTTGAGAAGAGAAAATAAGGAAACCTCCATCAATACTGCAAAGAGGATAACAGCTACTCGGCTTGAGAAGAGAAAATAATGACATAATCAAGATGTTGGCATTCAACACTACTTCAAATAATAGGTTTGGAAGGAAACATCCATCAATACTGGAAAGAGTGATAACAGCAACTGGGCATCAGAAGAGCAAATAATGACATAATCAAGATGTTGACATTCCATACTACTTCAAATAAAAGTTTAGAAAGGAAACCTTCATCAGTACCGGAAAGTGTGATAACAGCTACTGGGCTTGAGAAGAGAAAATAATGACATAATCAAGTTGTTGACATTCCACACTACATTAAATAAAAGGTTAGAAAAGAAACCTCCATCAATACTGGAAAGAGTGATAACAGCTACTGGCCTTGAGAAGAGAAAATAATTACATAATCAAAATGTTGACATTCCTCACTACTTCAAATAAAAGGTTAGAAAAGAAACCTCCATCAATACTGCAAAGAGTGATAACAGCTACTGGGCTTGAGAAGAGAAAATAAGGAAACCTCCATCAATACTGCAAAGAGTGATAACAGCTACTCGGCTTGAGAAGAGAAAATAATGACATAATCAAGATGTTGGCATTCAACACTACTTCAAATAATAGGTTTGGAAGGAAACATCCATCAATACTGGAAAGAGTGATAACAGCAACTGGGCATCAGAAGAGCAAATAATGACATAATCAAGATGTTGACATTCCATACTACTTCAAATAAAAGTTTAGAAAGGAAACCTTCATCAGTAACGGAAAGTGTGATAACAGCTACTGGGCTTGAGAAGAGAAAATAATGACATAATCAAGTTGTTGACATTCCACACTACATTAAATAAAAGGTTAGA